ATTATTATTATTATCATTATCATTAACATTATTAATATTATTCGAAATATATCGAAATTTTGCATTTTGTAAAGGTGAAAAAAATAAAAATATTTGATGTCAATAAAAAAATCAAAATTTTCGTAACTATTTATTTCCATACAATTTTTTCTTTTTAGTTCAATGTATATCTTTTAATTACATTGGCAACACTTATAAACTATTTGACAAATATTTAACAAAGCAACAGAAAAACTTTTAAAAGTATAACAAAAGTTAAAATATGTTTTAAAATACATAAAAAACTAACGATTAACAAGTTTTGGTCCTTTTTCTATATATTTTAATTCTAAAGAATCTTCATCACTTTTTAAAATTAAAAATCTGTTTGCCGCTAAAACTAAAAACAATATACTTTATATTTACTTGTACTCTAACCCCTGCCGCCCTTTTTTTGGTTCAACAAAAAACGAAAACAAAAGTCATAGTTATTTCTACTAAGTTAAAAATATCAGTCTTTTTTTTAAATCCAACTAAACAAAAAATAGATTTTTATTATTACATAAAAAAAAGAAATTTAAATACATATAAATACAATCAATCTTAAAACCACTGTAGATATAACTATGAGGAATATTACATTTTGTTAATAAAAAAACATCATTATCAAAGTATTTATATAAATTTCATCAGTTGTCACTGGTAATAAGTAAGACCAACTTCAGTTTAAAAAAAGCAGTATTTCTCAACATTCTGACTTTCTTTGTTTTCATTTGTTACACAGAAATAGCTAATATACAGAGGTCAAACTACGAGGAAATACATTCCTACAAATGAAGAAATAAAATGATCCTAGGTATATCCTCGTGGCATTGCCAAAAGTTCTCAACATAAAAAACACACAAATGCATTTGATCACAGCTTATAACTTGTTGTATATACTGTGATCCAACAGCAATAATGGCGACACACTATGTATTTTCGCTGCAGTACATCTTAATTGCAATTAGATGCAATAGAAAACAACCTAGACCCCTCCTCAATTTGAGCTATTTTTTACATATTATTTCGCTTTGTTGATTTACAGTTGTTGATTACATAAATTTGGAACAAGTATTTTTAAACCACAACCATTAAACTGGACTACCAAATTTTTTCAAATTCCCCATTTTACCTAAGAGATTGTGTTTCTTCTTCTAATTATTTTTCCATTATTTAATTTCAATTAATGAAACCGTTTCCGATAAATTCAAGTTTAGATGGTGCGTTTATAATGTTATAATAAATTTCATAATCAATTAAGTATGTTTTTAAATGTGAGATATTTCAAACAAAATTTAAAATTTTTCAACACAATGCATTTTTATTTTGATATAGTTTCTGAAATATTCTATTATCCTATACTAGGAAAAGAAAAATTGAAAATAGAAAAAATTGGAGAAACAAGATGACAGAGATAAAATGACTAGAACAAGGCAGAAAGGAATGGAAGAAGTGGATATACTCTGCCATGGAAACTCAGATCCGACACCTTGAGGGACATAAGAATAACTGAGAAGAAATCAGGAAAATTTACATATTTCAAAAATTTAAAACAAATGTGAGGTGTTTGTTCCATTAAAAAAAAACAAGTTACATCTAGAAATCGCATACTAATGTTCAATTGTTTCCTCCAAAAAAAGTGTCAATTTTTAGTGGGAAACTCTGAATATCACTCCTTTTTTTAAATAATTGTACCTCCTTTTTAATAATACACAATTATCTTTAATAATAAAATACGAAAAAAAATGAGTATTTTATACAATATTGTCTTATAGAAATGACATTTAGAATTTTCATCTTTCAACAGATAGGTCTTACTCCAGAGAGCAAATATCTTTCTTTAGAAAAAGTCTAAGCTGCTGGTAAGTTGACATATTTGTATTAATAGTTCTCACACATATACAATCAGTTTAATATACATTATATATAGAACCCAATAGTTACACAAATATTTTTTTCTTGAACTAACTTTAATATTACAAGTTAAAGCAAATTTTTATGAGATCTGTAAGAATGAGAAAGCTAGTAAGCATTTGCATATAAAAACAACCAAAGTAGGATGAAAGAGTAATAGACAAACCTTTTTTTTATAAAGATGGGAAAAATAGACTATGTTCTTTTATTCTCCATTCTAATATGATGGATTTTGTAGAGCTAATCAGAGATTAGTCTTTTAAACAGAAGACTGCGTAATATTGTTTTTACAACTGTAAAAATGAAAAAAATATCATAGCGTACTTTGCAAATCTTGTGGAAGAGTCAGTCTATTTTCGGATAATAATCCATCCATAATTTTTATATTTTTCTGTTAGAAAAAGCTTAAAGAAGATTTTTTAAATCCTGCAAAAGGGTGTTGACCAAGCTCAACAACAGGTCCTTAGAATCATAATGTAAATGCCAACGCGTACTCTGACATATAGCCCTCTTAATATCATATTGTAGATTTTTTTTTTATAATTTTTAAGATTGGAAATTGTGTACTTCCAGTTATGTACCTCCTACTAAAAAACATCCTATTATATTTACTAAATTTGTTATGGGCCAAGTTTGTTGTATAATTGGGCCTGACTATTTGAGAACGTATACAGTGTTTCTGAAATAAATGCGTTCCTTGAAAAGGGTGATAGAGGGCACGAAAATGAGCAATGTTTATTAAGCAACCGATTGTCCGAAACATTACGTTTTAAATCGAAAAAAAATATATTACATTTAATTAAAAACTTTAAATATGTTTAAAAAAATGTTTCCTGAAAACTATTAGGTTTTACGTAATATATAATTAAATTGACTAAAAATAAGCCCTACTAAAATACCCTTAATGAAATTCACATTCTACAACTAAAACTAAAAAAGTGATAAAGTTTATAATATAGATGGAGAAATGTTTGCAACTGAGCTACAACCCCTTAAAGGTGAGCCACTGAAAGTAAAAGAAAGACGTTTAAAAGGTAAGGGGTATAGGTTATTTGAAACAAAAAATTAATCTTATAAAATAAAATCAAATACTTACTGAGCAAATCAGAAAAAGCCCTGGCAATATGCAATCTATGAATAGGCTTTTCACAGATGTGTTCAATCGAGAGTGGGCCTTGAGTCCATTTCGCAACTATATCAATAATCCTTTGTTGTCTAAAAATATATTTTTGAACATTAAATTACATTAAAAAATAAATAAAAAGAATTAATATTGTTTCAATATATTACTGTAATGTTAGTTTTTCGATAAATAAATAAATAAAATAATGAATAAATAATATTGTTTACCTTATTTTATAATCACTTGGTAATGGGCTTTCCCTGTAACAAAAGGGTTTATTTAGAACAAAATTTCCTGTCCTAACACTTGGAATATGTTCCGAAAGTTCTTGAACTATTGTTTCTACTTCACGAGAAATTATTGCTTCAGGTGCAGCTGCATGGTTAGCAACTGCAATCTGTTCAACAATTGTTATTTGATCAGGATATGTTACTTCCTCAGGTGCTCCTACTGCCCTATCTTCAAGAGGTATTTGTATAAGTTCATCATCAGTTCTACAAAATACAAACATTTGCAAATTTTGAATATATTTGAAGTTTCAGTTGCAATTTAGTTCAAAGTAATAACATCAACCACCAAATACATACATTCTAAAACTAAAATGTATTTGACTGCCAAAGTATTCCTTGGTGAAAATTAATACAAACAGTTCAAGTGAACTAAGAGTAAATTCTAACTCCTGATCAAGAAGATGGAATAATTTGAAGTTGACAAAGATTTTTTTAAATATCTTCTAGTACACGTTTTACACAGATTTACAAAAAAAATGGGCTGTGTGAAACCTCATATGGAACCCAAGTTTTTATAGCCATTTGTTTGTTTATGTTTGTGTACAGAAGTTGTTTCATATTCAATTGTATTCTTATCTGTTATTTTTTATTGTACTTGTTTTACAGAGTGTCTGGTAAATAATGGATAACCTTTTAATCGTGGATGGGGGACCCTAAGGTCGTTCAGAAAATCGACTTTTGCCTTAGTACAAAGTTCCTTCGTTTTTCAGTTATTTCGTTTCTTTTTTTTCGAAATTTCCACCATAAGACCTTATTGGTCACTGCGGCCACAAGTGAACGTGAAGTTTATATAAAATGTATCTTTTTTTTTGTTGATGTACTATATGGCCTGAGAATATCATAAGACAATTTATTTATGTATGATTTACTCTAATTAAATTTAACAAAAAGTTCATTGGGTGCTTTAGAAGAAAAAAAAATTGATGAAGAATATTCCTAAAAAATTTTGTGCCTATTTTGTAAAGCCGTTTCAAAATATTCAATCAAATACAAATATTTCAATGATTTTCAAAATTCTCAAATTTGTGAGTGCACATTCCTCTATCTTTAATTCTACTCTAACACAAGAAAAACTTCTGCTTACCTTTTCCTCTTTCTTGGTGTAGAAGCTGGGACAATGGGTTCTTCGATTGATATTTGTCTGTAAATAAATAATATGTTATTTTGTTAAATATACATTTATATTTTTCAAAAATTCTTAATGATTCAACTTATAAAATTCCAATGCAGGTTAAACTTTAAACTCAGTTTTTTACAAAACGGTTGGTTTCAGCAACAAATACCAAGAGTACCTTTCGTACGTAAAATTGAATGGAGAATAGTCAAAAATGACATACATTTCGACACAAAAAAGTTATGGTTATTTAAATCCAGGTACAACACTGTATGTGGCGCCCTCTAACATTAAACAAAAAACTAAGTAAATATCTGAGTTTCTCATCATCAATACTCCCAGTTTCCTGAATTTCCTCAAATTCGTCATGTTATTGAACAAAAATATAATCAAAATGCCAAACAAAAATTGTTTTTGGACATTCTATATCTCAAGAACCAATCTGTTGAGGGACCAAGTTCATATAAACTTTTTATCTTAAAATTAGTCAAAGTTTCACCTTTTAAAATTTGTACAAGTACTTAAAAAACACCCTCTATAACCAAAATATAGAAAGTGTCCCAATATTCCATGTACATGAAATTAACACAGATTCATGGGGTCAAAAAAGATCATTTAATTAAATTTACCTCTATGCAAAGTTGTTTTGTTTAGCCGCTAGAAGTCGTCAAAGTTAATAAAATATTATGGTATCTACTTTGAACAAGTAGATCAATGTTCTTGTTTGCCGTAATATGGCAGTTTGACAGATGTCAATTTGTGCTATTTATATTAAAAACTATTCAAATTTGTGTTATAGATAAAAATAATTAATTGTTCAAAATATGTGAAAATTAATTAAATTTGTAAAAATTTACTGAATATTCAAAGTTATATTTCAAGGTTGCCAATAGAGACTTTGCCCTAAAATGATAGTTGATTGCGGTACATTATCAATACCTAGGGCTTTACAAAATATTTTGTTTGATTTGAAAAAAATTTGGTATGCTAGTACTCGTGTGATTCACAACTTATCCGAAAAATTTGGGAATAGATGCGTCGTGAAAAATGAAGTCAATCATGTAAAAAATTTGTGTAGTCCTTATAGTTTCCAAGAAAAAAATTATTGAAGTTGTAGTATTTAAAACCCTTACATCGCTGGGCTACTGCAGTCTCTAATTTTGAACAGTTGTAACATCAGGTATGTCAAATTATTTTATTAATTCAAACCACAAAATAATTTTATTAATTAATAATAACAATAATGATAAAAGCAGTAGAATTTGTTGATATAAAGGGGTTATAAAATTTTATTTATTTCTTTCCTTAGGAAAGAAATTCTTTCAATTTTTTGTCTATTCATTTATTATTACACTTTGCGACTGTATCGGTCTATGACTGCATGCTTTGCCTTGCGCAAGGTCAGGTTTTACAGTGGACCAGTTTCCAGTGCTGTGCAAAAGTGTATTTTTAAATCATTTTTGAACTGGCCCTTTTGATTTTTTTTAACAAAATTGTATTTGTAACATACAATCAAAAAAATTTTTTTTTGGATAAGTTCTGAATCATCCTGTATAGATGTCACTTTTTGATACAGTAACCATGGTAATTATATTTGCAGAAATTTACTAATTATATTTACTTATTTTTTTGCAACTTCATTGCTTATTTTGTCAGAAAGACACAACTTTTCTAAGAGTTTTTTCTCTTGTAAAATATGTGCATTCCTAACGATTTCTGTGTAACTAATTATTTTAATAATCATCACCGATACATTTTCAATACTATTCTGATTTAATTATCGATTATTATCTCCATGGATATAACAACATAGGATTCTTGAAACATATCAATAAAATACATCCAGACATTACTTCACCATGGAAATACACCAAAATTGTAGCCCGCCATTCCTAGAGATCCTTCTCAAGAAAAAACCAAACGGCAAATGACAGTGTTTACAGAAACCCTATTCATGTGGATAGATACCTGCCGAATCACATCACCACCGAACCCAGAAACAAAATATATTGGCACTGGCCATCTACAAGCAAGAGCACAGACCAGCAACTACAGCACTTACAATCTGCTCTTAGAGGACATGGATACAAGAATAGGAATATCGAGTGAGCGACCTTTTCTGGCAATAATGTATCTGTCATGTATACAAGGATGCACTGAGAAGATAGACTACATCTTAGGGAAACACAAAACTAATACCATCTACAACACTTTAAGGGAGATAGGGATGTGATAGAAATCCTGAAAAATCAAAATAATTTCAATCAGGATGAGGGGGACCTGGAATTGGGAAGCAACTCATCATAAAAAGCAAGGATTAGGAATGCCAATAGCAGATATAAAACCATATAAAGGGCTTAGTCTCCAGTTTCGGAGTTTCTTCTGAATAAGAGAGCGATATGTCTCAGTACATCGAGAAGAAAAACGGACGACGTGGCAACCATTCAGCTAGATGTATTTTTCTTGTTTTCATTAACATTTCAAGGGTTGAAATAACTCATAGGTTCCTGTAAAAATTATTCTTAGGTATCTTTTAGTTCAAGAAAATTGAAACCTAGATAATAGCTGGTTAAATTGTGTTTCCCAACTACCATACCACTGTTCTTCAACCTCAACAGTCAAAATATGAATTCTTTGAGAAATAGTAAATTCGAACACAAGAACTTTAGATGAAATTGTGCCACATACAAGGTGGGCCATTAGTGTGAGAAAGTAAAATAACTCCCTTGTTACTCATAATACAGAAAAAAAGTTTATATAAAAGTTACACAGAATCAAGAAACCTAAACTACAACATTAATTTGATACATACAGGGTGATGAGTAAAAACGGGACACGTCAAATTTTACATTTTTTAAATGGAACACTTGTATATTTTTACACATATGGATTTACAAGAAAATTCTATACAGGGTGTTTCATAACGATGTGCAAATATTTTAAGGTGTTTAAAAACTAGTTTTAGGGGGGTACTTCCATTACATCTTTTCAATTTGAGCCCCCCCTGAGAAAATATTCAAATCTCAAAATGACGGAAAAAATTAGCTTTCATTTTTTTTATTAAATTTTTAGTTCATATTTGCTTAGCTTTTCCTATGATAAAAAAAGAATTTTTGCAAAAATCATGTCAAAAATGACGATCGGTTTTTGTAACTCGTGCTAATTATGTGTACCTAATCGGCAAGGAAAAATAATTTATTTTTTTACTCGTAAACCATTAAGTATACGAAAAACTGGGAAGAGTAAAAAAAGTTTCTAAATGAAATGTACTATTAAAAGCTATTTTTCCTGTTGGAAGTGGCTAACGTAGAAAAAAGTTGTGAGAAATAAAATCAAGGGGTGCTAATTTCTTTCATTCAAAGACATAAACCAGAAAAAAAGACTACCAAAAAATACCATTCAACTAGTTGTTAACGTGTACCAAAATTCAAATTTCTCAGTTAAAACATTTTCGTGAAAAAAAATAAGCTAATTTTTTCGGCCATTTTGAGATTTGAATATTTTCTTAGGGGGGCTCAAATAAAAAAAAATATAGGAAGAACCCCCCCCCTAAAATTATTTTCTATACACCTTAAAATATTTGCACATCATTATGAAACACCCTGTATATGGCAATATAAACAGTTTATCATTTTAGTGCGGTTGCCCAGTTATGTAGAAAATTCTTCGAATTTTGGAAAAAACATGACTGAAGAAGTATTAACATTCAGCTACTAACACTTGGAACAAAATAATAATTAGATAGAGTTATAGGCAAATGTTAGACAAAGGCTCCTAATTAGCTAATATCGATATTTTATACATGGCATTTTTTATAATACGATCATTTTTATAAAGTTTAAACTTGCTTTTCTAAAATTTTTCAAATGGAACAGCCTGTATTTTATTGTTCTATTTTATTCACATATGGGTCCACTTCAACTTTTATTAAGCATGTTCTATATCTAAAATTGTTAGTTTTTAAGATATAGCAACATTTCTGAAAAAACTTAATTTTTATTATTTTATAGAATATCACAAATAAATATTAACTACCTAATAAAATTAACTCAAAATGGAATGATAAATTATGAACTGACAAGTTGACACAATGTGATAGTTTTTTCCAAAGCCATTTCGTGCGACCAAAAATAATAAAAATTAGGTTTTCCAGAAATGTTGCTATATCTTAAAAATTAACAATTTTAGGTGTAGTACATGCTTAATAAAAGTTGAAGTGGACAGGGCGCCTATTCTCCAAACCATGCGATAGTACGGTCGCATGCGATTGACAGATTTATCGTGTACGAACACTTGTGATTGAGAAAGTCGCATTCTTGAATGCACACGTGGCTTCGAATACAATTTGGCTACCGCATGTGATGCATTGAGTGGGTTTGACCATTCGTTGTATCGTTCGCGTCGGTTTTCTAACCTATAAACGCTGCCTATAGAAGAGCAATAATCAGTTACTCTTCTGCGTGCTAAGTAAATTGATGTCAAAAATTCAACTTTATTATTGTAATTGAGCAGTCCATCTTATAAGATACAAAAATATTTGACAAAAATAAATTAATATTGAAACAGGAAACAAAAATATTTATATAAAGCTTAATAATACTTGTGAAGGAGCACGAAAAGTAATACCTAACGAGTTACTGGCGCAGACGTCTACGTTTTTGTATATTTCTGCGTTTGCCAGCAATTATTTCTAAAGCGGAAGCAATTCTTTGTAGAGCATTGGCGTGAGCTTTAGCAACTTTAATTTTGTCTTTGTAATATTGCTCTAAGATATTATTGCGATGAGCACATGCTGCACTCAAATTTTCTGTTGAAGTAACTGTTGATTGTAACCTCTTCTGTGCCACAGTTCTCCTGTCCTTTGTTGAAGATTTTTTGTCCTTTGTTGCAGAGTCACGATTCTTTTTTGGAGTTACCATTGATGCAGTGTGCGACTTTGGTGTATCCTTATTCATGCTACCATTTTCTACAGAATTTTTTAAATCACTGTTGGTTTCTAAATGGATAACCATTTCACTGTCACCTGT